TTACACTTCTGAAAGTTAAATTATGCCATCTTTAGTTTTATTCAGAAAATACAAACTTCTCTTTTAGTATTTTTTCATCCGGATTTCACTAATTTTTATTATGAAATTTACCTTACAAAAGTCTCTAATTCAACGTAAAAGGCACACACAGCTTTACTTAAAAGAAAAAAAAAAAAAAACGCTAAAAACTAATTATCCTAAGACAACAAAAAAATTAGTCTTATTTTCTGCTCAACCTTCATCCCAACAATTTTCTATTTCTGATGTATCATACTGTATACTTGACTGCATTATTTCTCCTCACAAATGCGTAAATTGGTGACCATTGCTCCATTCATTTGGTTTGATGCGTGCGTAAAAATTGTATTAGAAAAGAACTCGATTCGTTCGAACGATATATAAATTAGCATACTTAAGGGCGAATGTTTTTCTTTTTAGAAATTCATCGAATTCTTTGATCAATTATAATCGGTAATGAATTCAAATTTTAACGAACCCTTTGATAGCGAAGGGGAATAGGGGAAATGTCGAGGGGAGGGGGACGATTCGTGCAGCAAATCAGTGATTAGAAAGAGAGCCAGCCATGATCACCCATACCACTCCAGCTGTTTTCGTTTCTCGATGACGAATCGATTTGTTAACCGCGCCACCAAGACAAAATCACGCAGTTAAATGTTACTCGTTATCATTCACTGCAATTCTAATACGAGACACTAATATCTCCTAAATTGTTTTCTTCAATCGTAAAATTCCTCTTTAAACTCGTTCTTTGTGCTGAAGTCAATAAGTGATTCGATATAAAAAAATAATTTCATTATAGTTCGCAACGAAATTTTTGTCTTACTGATACGGTTAAATCAAGAAATTCACGATCATTTCGTGCAAAACAAGCGATCGGATATTTGTTTTTTAACCCCAAGTAGAAATTATTCGAATATTGAAATTCCACATCGATCCGATACTTCTCTTTCAAGTCAAAGATTGTTTTCTCTCTCTTTTTTTTCTTTTTTTTGTTCTACCATCGTACTTCTTCGTCCTTCTTCTTACGCTTTTAGTATTTTCTTTTTTTCGTTCGGAGGGAGAGCTTGCGATGTTTCATTGTCATGCCACACAATTTTTAACCATTTGCTATCGTTCTGCCTTGAAACAACAGAATGATACAATAGAATATGTAAACGTTCGATAAACTGACGATAAGAAAAAATATAAGGAACGTGCAAACTTGATTTGCATATCACCTGCAAATTACCACCCTATTATTATTCTCTGGTTCCTCCGTGTTTCTTTTTTTCTCTTTGTATCTCTTGTTTTGCATTTTTATGCAGGAGTTGTATATCTTTTCTCAGGTTACAATGAAATTAAGTACGTTACAATAATGTCGATGAGTTAATCTTGCATCAGTAACGACGTAAATATCCTCTCCGCTATAGTTTCTGAACCTTCGAGGATCAATTAAAACTTCTTGTCATTTTTTAATAGAAGATCCTGGCGACTTCTACATCATCGTTTCTAAAAATTTAAATACTACATAGACAAAGAAAAAGAAAAAGAAAAAAAAAGAAATACATAGTGAACAAAGTATAAAGTTCTCTTTGCGTTTCGTAAAATCGTTCATATATTTGTCGGATATAGTGTAACAAGAATGGTTACTGACTCAAGATTAATTCGTGTACAACCATGTACATTCTCAATCGTCTGACTGATTGGCTATTTTGGCGACCGCAACGTTGCCAACGAATAATTTTTCTTCTTTTTTTCTTCTCATCATGCACTAAAATTGTACACCATTTTACAGGCTCGAACACAACGGAAAATTATAATTAGAGACATGAATCGTACGTAACTGCCTGGGTACAGGCGATAAAAATCTGTGGGTTGGGGGCAGAGAAAAAAAAAAGAAAGAAAAAAAGAACGATCGCGTACACGCTAGTGAAGTGTCATCGATGAAAAAATTTCGTTAGTTTGCTTTTTTCTCTGCTTTTTCTTCTCTTAGTTAGGAATTTTCTGTTCTTTAAGTTTCTCATATCACGCTTATTTTCTATCATACACACGTTAAAAAGCGACCCTAGTCCAATCCTATGTACGGTACAACGTTATCACAAAGTCATTAAAAAATGCTACTTATGTATTTTTTTCCCCCTACGCTTCGTTTTGTCTCTTTGTTTCAGTTTTGTCTTTTTTTTGTTTTTGGTTCTTTTTTTTTGGTAATCTTTACACCATTATACTTAATTTTTTACAACGGTAAATCGGACAGTGACCGTTTCTCTTCGCTCGGTTCACACGTTTTCTTGCTTTTTTTTTTTTATTTATTTATTTATCCTTCAATCTAGCACGTTACTTTTCTCTTCCCGTTTTGTTACTCTCACACCACTTTTTCATCCTTTTTTTTCGTTTCAACGGTTTTTCAGTTTCTACACAGTTTCTCCTATTATTTATTCGGTTAGAGCTGGCACTAGTTTATCAGTGCGTTTTCTTTTTTTTATTTTCGTTTTATCTACATATGAACAGGCGCTTCGCGACGCCGACAGCGATCCCGAAAGTGAGCCGATAAAATCGATTCTCAGTTGATAAGTGAACGTATGTGCAATAGTGTTCTCGTATGATACAAGGTGCACAAGGTTCCGTCTCACAGAACACAGAGCATACTTTTGTTCTTTTTGTTTTTTTCATTTTTAATGGTTAGTGATTGTACGCAAATATTTCTTACACTATAGGTCCACGGATAAATCGTTGCGATCTAAAATTGATTTTTCGTTTCTCACCGTTTTCTTTGTGTCTCTCATACATCCCTTCGAGTGGCTCAACTGGGATGTCGAAAGAACGCGGTAACTATACTCTATATTAAACGAGCTACTTCTAACAGTTGCCCCATCAGCTTTAGATCGCATGGTTCACGCGTGCGCATATACGTACATCTTTGTACATACACATGCATAGATATATGAGTATGCATACGTTCGCATGTGCTATTTTAATATATATACACACATATAAAGAAACAGAGAGATAAGGTAGTGTGTCACAGTTCAGCCCAAGGAACATAAAAAACATACTGCTCGATCAGCGGTGCTCCGACTTTTCTGCTTTGCTACTCTCTCCTTTATATACGCATGTCCAACTCTGAACGATGATCGTCGTTTCCCTGGTCTCTCTCTCTCTCTCTCCCTCTCTCAATTAGAGATACTCGAGAGATCGAGCATAATATATTTTTCCCACGACGGTTCCTCACATCCCGTTCCCGTTTTTTCTCTTTCCGCACCCCGATTACTATATCGCACACCGACTTGGTCCAGAGATAAAGTTGGCTGATGATCATCATCGTGGACTCTTCTCTCTTTTCTTTCATTCTTTTTCTCGTTTTATCGCTTTATTTACCACAGATTAATGTTCACAGGGTGATGCGCGTGTTCATGTGTCAAACACACGATCGACACAATCAGTGGCGCCATCTATCCCGGGTAAAATATGGAACAGACCAAGCAGTGACGACCGTGCGTGGAAACGGTGCGCGCGTGCGCGAAATAAAACGTAGAGGTAGCTCGTAGGTGGATGGATTCGTTCGAGGAGTGCTTTCTTTGTTTTTGTTTTTTTT